GGGCTGGTGTTTCATTCTTAGCCTTCGGTTGAAGTGGAAGTGGGGGCTTCTTCGCCTCCTTCATGTAGATCTTTTGAAAGTCCATCAGCATCTGGCGAGTTGCCTCGCGGGTGCGTTCCTCTGCAATTCGTCTACGTTCCTCATCTGCCGCAACTCGCTGGGCCTTCTGGTCATCGTTGCCCATCGGTTCTGGCCGTTGGGACTGGCTGGAAACGCCGGGCGAGTTTCCTTGCATTCCAGGAAGGCTAAAGAGCGCATCTTTTTCTTCCTGGGTTATGGGCACCAGTCCCCTCGGAGCTGGAGGAGGCTGAACCTCCTCGGCATTCGGCCTCATATGGGCTGTGATCCCGAGACGACGATTGACCTCTGCGATCTCGTCTTGAGTCATCGGGATCAGCGGTGGATGATCCTCCTTATGAGGAGTGCGGCATCTATTCGGGCTCAAACCCTCGTTGAGCCCCACAGGGCATCCAGGCCTATGCTCCTGAAATGGCTCTGAGCACGGCCCACAAACTGCATGAGGTCTGTACAGTTTGCGCGCTGCAATGACATGTCGCAGCTGCGTTCGTATCTCTTGTATTTCATCAGTACGAATGTTCGTCGCAAGCTGGTAGCCACCGCGTATGGACTTACCCTGAGCATCTCTGTAGGCTGGGTTGCCTTTTCCGAAAGCCGAATGTTCCCCTTTCCGACGCCTAGGGTCATTGTAGGGAAGCAATTGGCCCCCTCGCCGAAGAGCATGCTCCTTTGGGCCAGCTTGCCTCCATTCACGAGGGAGCCGTGCTTGCGGATGAGGCTCCTCTCTGAGGCGTGGATGAGAACGAGACCTCCTGGCATGCTCATCAGAAGAGGCTGCTGACGCAGCCCGAGCGGGAGCCGGCGGGGGCTCCTGCGGAGGCCCCTGCGCGATCCCAGGCGGATCGTCTAACAGAGGCAGGTCTCCCTGCTGGCTGGAGCCCGGCGCAATTTGCGCTTGCGCCAGTGGTGGTGGTGCGTCAGGCTCGTCGGGATCGAAGTCCACCTCTTCCTCACCACTGACCTCCACCATGAGGATTGTGGTTTCGTCCTCGCACAGCCCGCAACCATCACCCTCTTCATCTTCTGATGTAGGATTGCCAATGATGACGGTCATCGGCACAGCCGGGACGGGCAGGTTTCCCTGCGCAGCCGGCGTCTGAGCATCGCTTGGTTGTCCCGGCGTAGGCGGTACGGTTGTCGGCTCAGGCTCGTTGCCGAGCACAGGCTGCCCGGCGATCTTACGCATGGCCGTATGGCTGGGCCAGAGTCCCGCCGCCTGGAGACCCCATCCTGGCGGAGGAAGAGCCTGGCCGCGCATGGCGATGGCCCTTTCAAGGGCCTGGCGCCATCTCCCTCTGGAGTACCACACATGCCTCTGCACGTCCTCAGGGTGCACGCTATCAATAAGAGTCAAGGCTGCCAGCGCTAACTCCGAGTCGTCGCAGGCGTCCGTGTCCTGCAGCATCATGGCACCAGCTTCGATGTTTTCTTGACTCTCGGGATATGCTATGGTTAATATCTCGTGCATCCTCATGAGGGTTTGCAGTAGGCAGTAGTGCGCGTGGTCCGTACTCGCCTGGGGCAAGCGAACCAGGGGGTAAAAATGGGCCCCCTGGTACGCCCGCAACGAACGCTTGAGACTCCATTTCTATTAGTTCAGCGTGGTTTCGAGGATAGGTAGGCCTGTTTCCAGGCATGAGGTCGGGTGGAGGTTGCAGGTTGCGATCAACCTCTGAAGGCGAGGCCTCTACAGTGACGTCCTCGTCACTGCTCTCGTAGGCCATGATGTTGCCTGGGTCCCCGAACATCCAGTCGAAGAAAGATAAAGGCTGGTGTCCCAGCGTTCCGTGATCCACGGGAGTGAGCTCGTTGTTGCCGACAACGAACCTGCGGAGGTACTCGAGGTAGTACGCGTACAGTCCATGGCCATACGCCTCGAGCTCGTCGACGTTGTCCACGCAGCTAACCCAAATGTAAAATATCTGTTTCATGGCCTCAAAATCCTGGAGGCTCAGATATTCAATAAATTGTTCACTTGAGCCAAAATGGACTTCGGTCGATCTGCCCTTTCCAATTCCCTTCGCTGGACAATCTTTGAGAAGATGATCGGTACTATCGCACTCATGGCACCTTAGGATTTGGCCGGCTCTACCCCGCGGGTTTCCCCGCCTACCTTTGCCTTTGCCCGAGGTATCTCCGCGGCCTTTACCACGGCCTTTTCCCCCGAAGAGAATCTCATCATACTGATCATCTGAGAGCCTCTGGAGGAAGGCCGCGACGCCTCGACCATTCAACCTACGGCGACCCCTTTTTCCTTTACCTTTTCCTTTAAGACTTCTCCGTATCCTCCTCCTAACACGACGCACTGGTTTTCGTGTAAACCTCCCCCACCTCCGTTTTGCCTGTTGTAATAACCAAAACAAGTATTCAGCACGCTTATTATCACTTTCCATATTCATGATATCTGGCCAATCTAGAGCTTCAACACCGTCTGATGATACAGTATCGGCGTCGGTGCCGGAGTCGAAATCGTCGTCTCCCAGGTAGGTGGATACACCGTCGGTTAGGGGGTTTGATTCACCCCATAAGGAGCGGTGTGGTTGAGGTTCTCTAGGAGGAGGGCTGGCTGCCCAGCTTGGTTGTGATCGATCCGCTGCTAGTAGAGCAGTGGATTCTCCAGGGTCGTCGGCCCATATGCTTGAGGGCCCGTTTCCAGGCTGGGCTTCAGTGGTTAAGGTAGTGTAGAAATTCCCACTACCAGATCCCGCTCCCCTTCCAAACACTGATCGTACATTACCAGGAGACCGTTCTGATAGGTGACCTATCGAACGCATCCTCTCCAGCAACTCATCATACTGTTGTTGTGTTCGGGGCATTTGGTGATTGAGTGGCTGTAAGAGTTGCATGGCTCGCTGGTTGCCGACGCCTAAGGCGCGGAATCGGATCGTAGTTAGTAGTTGGAAGTTGGGAAGGTCAAATCCCACCGACTGTGCCTCAAGTCGGGCCATTTCGATTCGGGTGAGGGTGACATCGGTTCGTTCTCCGCGAGGCACATGAAAGTCGATGAGCTGTGTGCCGGAAGTGAGCTGGCGCTCATCTTCCAGGCGCTCGAACTTCATGCTTAGGAGGAACATGATGTAGGTCACTGGGTCGGTGTGGACCCCATCGATGTCAGCACCATAGTTTATAATGTCAGGTGGTTCCCTCATGGCGAGTGTCCTCGCTAGGCCACCCAGGCCGCGTTGTATGGTGGCCGCTTGGGCCTGTGGCGTCATACGTCCACTTGTGACGTTGAGCCACGCGTTGACCTCATAAACGTACTCGCGGAAAGGTACGTTGCCTTGAGGGTCCCAATATGGGCCATGTGTTTGCCCATCGGTGCTGTTATCTCCACGACGCATGTGTCCGATTGCTGCCCCCAGCGCGAACCATATGATGGCGAATATAACCAGCCCAAGGCTGTGAAGATAGGGGTGGTTATTAGGCGCGTTGCCGCGCTGGGGTAGCGCCCTGTCAAGTCTTCGAGGCGCTTTATCTCGCGGGTCTCCCCGCCTCTCCTTCAAGTACTGCGCTTTTGGCTCGTTGCCGAGCGGTTGGTAGTAGCGCAGTGATGAAGCGTATATGGTACCAATGTTGTTGTCTAGACGTCGTACCTCTCGTGCTGCTTCTTGCTATTGAATAGATCTTCGTAAATGTACTGGGACTGTTGGCGCAGGGTGGTAGTTGGTCACGAAGATCGTGCCGTGTAGTGTGAAGATAAGAAGAGCAAGAGCTGACCACACGAGAGTGCGGCCAGCTCCGCTACCAAGTCGAAAGTGACTATGGTAAGTCAAATAACATCCGATCCCATGGGAATCGACTGGCAGATAGCGTCCATTGCCCTGCTGGGGTGGTTCAGTATGGGGAATGGACGGATAAGATAGGATAAGATCGATGTAATGATCTTTCCAGCACATAGCGAACACTAAGGTAAGTGTCCGGGCAAATAGGGCGCGCGTGCCTTGAGCCAAAGGCAACGGCGCGCGGGCTATACTCCCGATTCTATATAACATCTCCCAAAGAGCTACCCTTAAAGTGCCTGGTCATCCTGAGGTCAGGGCATGAGGAGGAAGCCGAGGAATGAGGAGGAACCTGTGGAATGAAGAGGCTGGGGAATGAAGGAAAGGGCTGAGGACTGACGAAAGGACTGAGAAATGAGGAGGCTGTGGAATGCTGAGGAGTCCGAGGAATCAGGGGGACGCGGCTGAAGAACGAGGAGGAAGCTGAGCCATGACGAGGAGTAGAAGACTGAGAGAAGAAGAACCTGAGCAATGAGGAAGAGGCTGAGGACTGAGGAGGAGGCTGAGGAATGAGGAGACCGTGCAGGGAACACGGTCCGACAAGCCCTCGCTTTGCCAGTGAAACGTAAGCCGACGAATCGCGCCTCCAAGAGTCCCCAAGATGCATCCGAGACGCCCTCCAAAGGCTCCCAGGAGGCCCCACAACGACTGGACTGCACGTGGTCTGGACGCGAACACCGCGAAGCGAGAGGAATCTCGCACGCGACATCTCTGAGACCAGCGCTGCGGGACGTGCGCCTGTAAGACGCCTGGGAAACGCCACGCGGGGGCACCTGTGGGACGCCTGGAAGACGCCCTGCAGAGGCGACTTTAAGACGTTTCGCAGAGCGCCTGTGAGACGCCTGCTCATAAAGGCGCCTGAGACGCCTGAATCGACCCCCCGTTCCCAAATCAAGAAAGGCGCCCTGCATTCCAGCGGCAGGAGCACGAGTGAAAGCTGTGAACTGGCTTGCGAATATGGTGCAGCACATCCTCAGCTTCGCTCAGAGCGCCGTGGACCCCCTGGGCTCCGAGGTTAGAGGACGACGAAAGGAACGCCTTGAGATACCCAAGTTTGGAGTTAGCAGAGCCCTGGCGCTATGGGAAGAGATGGACATCAAGGATCTTGCTGCAGAAGGCCTTTGCCAAGCCGCGAACAAGGAACTAAAGACACCACTCCGCATTCTGCACATCAGCGAACAACTCCAAGCACCTGTTCCTGACCCCCCAGGCGTCCATGACCTGGGCGCGCACACTGGCCCGGCAGAAGTGGGCAGTCGGCTTGATGCCCAGCGGCGCCGCGGCAAAACAGACCAGATCCTTCCAGCTCGAGCTTACCACCGCTTTCTCCTTGTCCACAAAGGAGCGATTTTCACCGTACATGGTGTACAGCTCACGCATGATCTTCTTGCACCCGAACTCCCTCGCCAAAATCTTCGCGTTCTTGCCAGAACCGACCGACACGTCGGTGGGCGCACCTCCCATCGGGGACTGCGCAGCGAGCTTGCTCCACCCTGTCCCCCGCCCAGAAGGCGAAAGCACGAGACCGCCTGATTGCCCTTCCTCGTCGCGTAGTGAGTCAGACCACGCATATGAATATGAAGTCGTTTTGATACCCCATCTCCTTGCACGGCAAACTCATCATCTTTGAAATTGGCATCCTCCATTTACGGCCGAATGGACTGGCGGATGGCCTCCCTGGTGACGGGCGTCTGGGTCTGAGCCACCAGGACCAACGGGCCCACGGGACGATCAGTCCCCCCACCTCAAGCAACGCAGATAAGTGGTTCTTCCTTCTTGATGGCACCGGGGACGTCCCTGAGATTCTGCAGCTCCGACTCCGACTTCTGAATTCTCGAATCACCAAGGTCTACCTGTCCATCACCTCCACCACCAGGGTCTCGACCTTAAGCATCTCCACAAGGCATCAGTCCACCTTCTTCGGTTCCACTGGAGACCAGAGGCGCGAGCCCAACGGGGCTGGCGCCGCTCGTCCCTGCACGTCGTAGATATCCTGAGCGCGGGATGTCGATGTCGAACTCCTCACGGTCATCTCCATATCCTGCCATGCCACGGCAAGGAGGAGCGGGCTCCTTGGCCCCAGGGACGATGTGGCAAAGATCACCATCATCATCATCCAGAAGACCATCCAGAAGAGGGTCGTCCATCGCCTGGTACGTCCTGTTGGGCGCCTCGTCCGAACTGTTCCTCCCGAGAACACGATCGCCATCAAGTTCGAGCAGTGCTGCCGACCAGCTGCTGTACGCGCCAGCGCCCGTCGCCGCAGTGGCAGGCCCCATCGCAGCTCCCCAGCCGCCCCCGCGGCCGACGCCGTTCCTGCGCGGATGCGTCTGGGCGCCCCCTTGAGCCAGAATGGCTACGGACCCCACCCGTCCTCCTCCCTCCTCCGCCTCCTTTCCCCCTCCCCCCCTCCCTCCTGCCTCCCTCCTGCCTCCTGCCCCCTCCTCCCCCGGGAAGGTCCTCGCCCACATCTGCTGGCCGGCCTCTTTCCGCCTCGGCGCGGGGCGGACGACGGCGGGCGGCGGTGGAGGCGGGACGCGCCCCCGCGCGGCTAGGCAGCGCACGAGGCCGCGAGGATTCCTGGAAAGACGACGACGACGACGACGACGACGACGACGACGACAGCGACGGCCTCTGAACTGGGTCGTAAGTAGTTCATGGGCTCCCTGGCCCGAGTGCGAGGAAGGGATTTTGCACATACCCAGCGCACGGAGAAGCGATGGCCTGGGACACCCGCAGGCAGCGGATACGAATACGCCACCGTGCCTGCGGCACGCTGAGGCGTGGAAGAGTGCCAAGGGCTGCCTGGCAGGGTTTCTGGAGTCATCAAAGGGACCCCCCCAACCCCTGGCTACGCTTCCCTAACAGCATCCCCCTATTATGGGGGGGCCCTGGGCGGCCATGGCGCCTCCCTGGGGCTCTCCGAAGCTTCCATGGCGCCCAGGAAGCACACCCAGGCCGCCCAAGAGGCCTCCAAGGCAGCCCAAGAGCTGCCCCCATGCGCCCAAAATGGCCTCAAGACGGCTCAAGAGGCCCCAAAGAAACCCCATGAGTGCTCCAAGAGGACCCCCAAGAGGGCCCAAAGAAGGAAAAAGCATCGACTCTCATTATGGGTTTGTTCTTCACGTTCTCGCCGTTTCGAGCTTCCGACACTCCAAGGCGGCCCCAGGGGCCCCCAAGACTGCCCCAACACGACCCAAGAGGCCCCCAAGAGGGCCCCCAAACGGCCCAAAAAGCGCCCGAGACAGCCCAAGGGAGCCCCAAGACGGCCACAAAGGGGGCCCAAAAGGGCAAACACGAACCGACTAATCTAGCCTTCCGCCCGAAAAGGCCCCCAGGAGGCCCCAAGAGGCCTCGAAGAAACCCCAAGGGGCCCACAAGAGGCCCCAAAGAGGCCCGAAAGACCCCAAAGAGGCCCCCAGACAGCCCCAACGAGGCTTCAAAACTGCATCCAACTACTGCTGCTGCTGCTGCTGCTGCTGCTGCTGCTGCTGCTGCTGCTGCTGCTGCTGTTGCTGCTGCTGGTCCTGCCAGTCCTTCTCCCGTTTTCTCCTCCACCACCTCGCTCTCATCCCCATGCCGCCTCCTTCGCCTCCTCCACCTCCGCCCCAGTCAGGTCCAGTGAGATCTCTTGCCTCAGGCTCGAGTGATCCAGTGCGTGCCGCCGAGGCGATGAAAGGCTACGTGGTCCGCCACTCGCATGACACCCCTGCGCCTCTCGCGTGCCTCCTATCCCCATCAAAACCCACTGCACCGCACACCCATCCCCTTCCACCCCGCGTCCCACCGATCCGATCCTCACATCTCCAGTCGACGCCCATGACCTCCCCTCCGCTCCGCGCCCCATCGCCAGCTTTATCCACCGCTCGCGTGTTCCTTTTTTCCCCCCCGTCCCCACATACTATATATACATATATATGTATATCTATATATATATATATATATATATTATATATATATATATATATATATATATATATATATAATATATATATATATATATATATATATATATTCGTGTCTCCCCACCCTCTAACCTCCACTTCCTCTACTCGCATTGCCGTCCCTCCACCTTCACCTCATATGTGTGTTTCCCTTCGGAAGTCATCCCACTCCTTCTCATCCACTCCACCCCTCGGCTTTCTGTTCAGCCTTCCCTCCCGTCCATCTGTTCAGTTGCCGCTTTTTCCCTCCCTCCCTATCATCTGATAGACTCATTTCTCCCTCCCCGTATCCATCTCTTTCATTCCCTACTTCACTCAGAGTAGCCCCCACCTCCCCCATCAATTCGAACGTGGCATGAGCAGCGGCCACGAGAAAAAGACCAGGCAGACCATGTCGCGGCCTGACCGCATCCCCCACTCCCCCCCCCCCCCCATCCGCCCTCCCAACCCCCATCGCGCGGGGGGGGAAGGGAGAGATGGAGCGGCAATGGCCGGCAAGGGAAAGGCGGAAAAGGAAAGGAGAAGCCGATCCGAGAAGAGGCAGCAGGGAGACGCGGCAAAAAAAGAGAGGGAGAGAGAGAGAGAGAGAGAGAGAGAGAGAGAGAGAAGAAAAGAGGACCGCCGCCCTTCAGCCATCCCGAGAGCGCATTCCCAGCAGGTGCGAGTTGCGAATCAGAAGGACGAAGAGGAGGAGGAGGAGGAGGAGGAGGAGGAGCGAAAGACGCGCTGAAGGGGGCGCGTGTCCGCGGGTTAGAGGCGCAGCGGGCCCGCGCCGCCCACGAGGCACCGAGGCAGCCTCAGGACGCGGCGGGCGGCTGCGACCACCTCCATGTGGTACTTGAGCTCCCCGTGGATGGCTGGCGTGCCCAGCTCGGCGCGCACCCGCATGATGTCGTACGTGCGGAAGGCCACAGCCACGCGTGTGATGGCGCGCTTCGGGCGGTCGTCGATGTTGTCGCTCTCGTGGAGCCCGAGCCGTGCGAGGACATCACCAGCAGGTTATCCCCGAGGCTGAGCCAGTAGCGCCCACATTCGCGGGCATGTAATGTAGTGGGTGATGTCGTCCCTGTTCTTGATATGCGAGACTTTGTCGCAGCCGAATAGGCAGTTCTTCTTGTGGGGATTGACGTGCATGCGGTGCGATGTCGTCCACGCTCCAGACAAGGTCTTGACCACGGGCCAGAAGAGCGAGGCCGTGGAGTTCGCCAGGTGGGTCCGCAGGTCGCGCCAGCCGTGTTCAACACTCGCAGGGAGAGCAGCACGTCCAAGAAGTCCGTCACGGTCGGATGCATCGGAGTCCATCATGATGTCATTGGCGGAGTAGATGTGAGGTGTGGAGGTGGCCGTAGTGGTAGACTGAGCGCCGTCGTCTTCCTGCGGGATGTTCGGGTTGGTGGCACGTTCCCGTTCGATCCAGCGACGGCGGGCGCGGTGTTCAGCAGCTTCATCAGCAAATTCTCGATGAGTGTTGGTCGGCATGTGCTCGGTGGTGTAGATATGTAGGCGGTGGTTGCGGGGTCGTTCAGCTCGATGCCATGCACCGTAACATATCTCCTTCGCCATGTCACGGCGAGCATTGGCTGACCCGCACTGGTCATCGAGGCAGGAGTGCGCATTGAACTGGGTGCGGTGTAGAACAGCTGTGATGTACGGGACGCACCAGTCCATCCAGTCGTTGAAGTTGTCCATATCACGGCCGAAGAACACGCTGGGGATCCATCTTGCTGCCCAAGCTTCTGCACGTTCATTCAGGTACTTCATGGAGTCATGGTTGTCGTTCCCGTTCGGCTGCTCGGTCGTGGCAGGTGCCATCTGAGGTCCACCTTCAACAGGAAGTAGTGGGAACCAGGCGTGGAGACGGTGATGGATAGTCTTGTGGAAGGAGTCGCGGTACAGCTGGCGTTGTAGTTCCCGTAAGTATGCTTGTTGTGGAGAGGTGCGTGAAGTGGCACTCGAAGTAGCACCATTCGAAGCTATGAATCCAGCTTGTCTCTGATGAGATCCGCCAGTCCTGTCACGACTGGGCGTGTGAAGGCCACCAGCCCTGTCACGGCGTGGTGCCTGGTGGGCTCCAGTCCTGTCACGACTGTGTGTACAGATCCTCCGCCTTGTTACGACGGGATGCCATGATAGCGTGTCGTCCAGCAGCAGCAGCTTGCGCATGTGCTCGTTGAAGTATCTGGGCGGCATTCACCGTAGATCCTGTGGATCGCGTGGGACTCTTGAAGATGGATCCTTTGATCGTCACGATCAGCTTGTTGTGCAGTATGTCGTCGAATCGCTGAACGATGGAAGTGGCGTCAATCCAGCACGAAGCAGACCATTTTCCAACAACAACATCCCGTAGCGGGAAAAGTTCTTCAGCATGGGCACGGAATGTGTGAAGCAGAGGCTGCCAGCCAGAGATGGTGTTCGTGGAGGCGCGCCACATCGTTGCTGCGAGAAGCGTTTCAATACCCTGCGGGATCGTGGCGGACGCCCATAGCGTGAACGACAGGATGTCCATCTTCGTGAAGCTCG